CCCCCCCCATACCTCCAGCTTAAACACACCCCAACCAGGCACCCAGAAGAAACCTAGCTTCCTAATAAATGATAGCCGTCCGTTTACCTGAAACCAAGCTACACTAAAAGCCTCCAATTCAGGAAACACAATGTTGCCAGCCAATCAAGACCATCTGGAAGCTAGCCCTCACCAACAAACAAGTCCCAGCCACGAAAACCAACACCAGACCCAAAACAACACGGGACATCACTGCCAACCCCCCTCATCAGACCCAGGCCCAAGCCCATCCTATAAACGAAGGACAACTACCATCCAGAAAACAGACCACGGCTGCTTCGCCAGCTGTCGCACCCCTCAACCCCAAAACCAAACAAGCTGACACACACCAAGAACACAGACCCAGACCCCAAACTCGAAGCCAGACTAAAACCCAGAATGCTACATCACAGCCACCCCCTCAGGATATCACATCAGAAAACTCAGAAAATTACACCACAAGAACTCAAGAAGTTGCAATACAGCAAATGACCCAGGGTATCACAGCAAGGATGACCAAGGATACCACAGCAATAAATCTCACAAGGTCATCACACAATCCATTACCCAAGCCGTTACTACACAGGAGGCTAATGGAAAAGAGATCAAAACACAAATGACCCAGGAGATTACAACGCAGGACCCAGGATACCACAACAAAAGTACTCGCAAACCCATCACACAACCCATTACCCAAGCTGTTAAAACACGAGAGGCTAATGGAAAAAAGATCACTACAAAACAAATGACCCAGGAGATTACAGCACAAGATCGAGGATATCTCCACAACAAAACTCAGAAGGCCACCACACAGCCCATTATACCAACATCAACTCCATCAACCAATCAAGAGGCAGCAGTGCAGCCAACCAGCCCAGCACACCAGCCCCCACCACCAGTATATATAGAGAGACGGCAGCTCCGATCACACACTGCTTGCACTGGCATGAAGCCGAAAGCACCAGCCTGAGGATGGCGAGTGGGATCTCACTGAAACGTCTCCAAGATACTCTTAATCTTACACGGGAAAAGACCCGAACACACCTAGACCTACATATATATATATGTGTGTGGATCTTTGGTTATTCGGGTTTTCTCCTGCGTAAAATTGGAAATACTTCCAATTTTTCGGGAGAAAACCCGAATAACCAAAGATCCACATACAAATACCCGCGAAAACCTCAGAAAACACACACACACACACACACATGTATGTATGTATGTATGTATGTATGTATGTATGTATGTATGTATGTATATATGGTATTCAGCTTTGTTTGGGTATTTTCCCACGTCATTATAGTTGTGCTTTTAAAGTTGTAGCAATGTTTCATCAGAATCTCATTGCTACAACGTTGCTACAACTTTAAAAACACAACTATAATGACATGGGAAAATACCTGAACAAAGCTGAATACCATACATGTAAGTACCCACGAAAACGTAAGAAAATACACACACACACACACACCCCACTGGAGAAAGTGGGCCAAAATGTTTACATTTTCAATGGAGGGGGAGATTTGGTGTTAGCTTTAATGGAATCTAATAAAATATGCTTTAAGCCTAGCTCTTGTGATATAATTCTAGGGCAAGGGTGTCAAACTCGAATTCATTGAGGGCTGCATCAGGGTTGTGTTTGACCTCAGTGGGCTGAGGTGGGGCTCCTGAGCTCCATTTTCAGTTGCGATGTCCTCCTGCCACTCTCTGCCAGTGAAAATGGAGTCTTGAGCTCCATTTTTGCTGACAGAGGCACCATGGGCCAGTCTTCTGCTGTTTCCAGGGCAGCACCATGGGCTAGATGTAAGCACCCCCCTGGGCCAGGTCTGGGCCCCAGGCCTTGAGTTTGACACCCTTGTTCTAGCGGGTATCCAACACCTTCCAGAACCTGGCCAGTTTTGACAACTAAGCAAGATCAGACTTGCTTAATATTTAAATAGGAGATCTTTAAGAAAACATCCAGGGATGTAGGCTAGATCAGGAAATTAAAAAGAAAACATGAATGAATTAATTCTATATTATGTCAAGAAAACAGTATGGCAGTGGCTGTGAAATTATCAGGAGTACAATTCAAGTCAACAGAGACTTCAGCTCCTAAATATATAAATATAAAATATATTTGGATGAGCATCATCACCTTTCGAATTCTGATGTAACTGTCTGATAACACTTTTACACAAGAGAATCAGAACTCTTATACACATTATTACAACTCAGAAGTATGCTTCATATGCAGCACAATTTAGGATTCTTCTGTCAATATGCAGCACATTTTCACAGCTTATTATATCAAATCTTCAATGTATGTTGATTATCCAGTAAGGAGCATAGCAATCCTAAATCAATGCTATTTTAATACATCAGAAATTCTCTCTTTCCATTATTTTTCTCTGCACCTTGAGTTGCATCTTAGACATTTAGCCTCTAGGCCATTATTAACATTCATAATGTCTCACACGATAAGAATTTATAGTATACTCTGGAGGATAAGTGATCAAGACATATTCCCCATCCACCAAGAACAAAAGCATATTTTGACAGAGTTTATTTTAAACTGTAAATTATTATTTGAAACAGGCAAATCTCCCAGCATCTCTCACCATCAACTATGTTGGCTAGGGTTGCTAAGGGTTATGGCCCACCCATCTTAAGGCATGAAATATTAAACAGACATTTCCCCACTTAATTTTCTACTTCAAGGCAGCCATCTAGAACAGTGCAGAATGGATAGATCTGAAGATTTATCATTTTAGTTTCCACATTCAAAATATAACATATAACATTACTGGATTTCCTTGGGTAAAAGTCGCTTTTCAGAGTAAGATGGACAGCATTTAAATTTAATAAATAAATGTCACATTTAATTGATTCAAACATGCTAGTAAGTCTAATAAGCTAAATTTTGAATTAGCATGGCATGAAACTAAACCAGTGTAGTTTATTCCATCAATCATGGTTTCATTCAACATAGTTTGGAACAAGCTGTGGACCTAAATCCTCTACTAATTGGCAAAAAACAACAAATTAAAAACCTCTGCTTTTAAAATGGATACAAAACCCTATTTTATAATAACAATATTTAATGTGATATTTAAATTTCTCTGGAATGTAACCACAATCGTGATTACATTCAAACATAGTTTAAAGCAAGCTGTGGATCTAATCCTACTATTAACTGGCAAAAAAAAAAACCTTGTTTGGAGCAAATTAATGTATCAGAAATAAAAAACAGCTCTGTTTTTAAATGGGCTATGCAAGCCTATTTTATAATAATAATATTTAATGTGGAATTTGAATTTCTCTGGAAATTACCCACCCCAAAAGGGAAAATATATCCTCTCACTGGCATTTGCTCCACTAAGATCAGGAGAGAAGTAGCAGCAGATACTGAGAGAATGAGCCTCGACATTCTCTGAATGGACATATGCCCTAAGCCCACCAACTCAAATCTAGGAACAGTTTTATGGCAACGACAAACATTCTTGAGGTACACAAGAACAAATTAAAAGTTGGAAGAAGGAGACCATTGGAAAAGGAATAACATTAAAAAAGGATATAGATGAAGGATCTGACCTCCATTATATTACTTGGAGGACTCTGAATAGGTTGAGAGTTGAGTGGCTAAATGTAAAACTAATATGCTCAAGGGGAAGCTCTTAGCAGATAATATCATGCTATGTGACTGTGGAGAGACACCAAGAAGGTGGCTTCAATCTGGCATCTTAAAATTTGATGTAGACATGGAAGAAGAAATTTCTCTGGAATTCAGCCACTCCTCTATGGGAAGTTCTGAATGATAGAAATGAGGAGAGACTTATAAAGAGACTTCTTCAAGCTATCTGCTGAAAGGATAAAAATGAAAATGGACAAGTAACACAACACTATAATTCACTATTGAAGGATTGCACATGTAAAAAATATAAATCACAGGTTTTAAATCCACCAAAGTTTTTTTTACCTGTCAACAATGATCCCATGGGGTATGAGGACATAGTCAAGATCTCCACAGTAATGCTGTGGATATGTAAACAGATCCAAGCTATATCCTGGCCAATCATCTGAAATCTGCAAGCAGATAAAAGTTGGTTAAAATAAACATTTCTTTACTACTTTACAAATGTGTTACTGCAGTTATCTGAGGAGTAGACTTTTAAATATGGAAAATGAAGTAAAAAGGAAAATGGGAGGTATCAAAATCTTGTTATTGCTAGCTCGTTGGATTTCACCTGCCAGTGAATTCACTGGCTAGATTTTCTGGGAATTTGTGCAACCATTATAAGGCAACCAGGGAAGAAGAAATGTATCTAAATGGATTAATCAAAAAATCAAGTAACACAAAGAAAAATATGGCTTCAAATTCTTGTAAATCAAGAGATAATGATAGTTTAGCTTAGTTTTATGTTGAAATCCAGTTGCTATGGCTTATTAATAAGCTATGCTTTAAAGAAAACATGGCTGGACACAATGGGTGGCAACAATTGTTCTGGCCTCTATTAAGACCTGTTCTCTGCTCACAAAATGCCTTCTATCTACTTAAAATTTAATTCTAACTCATTTTTATAACTGTCAAATTGAACTAGACAGACAAATCTTACATAATTTTGGCATTCTTAAATTTTGATGATTCCAGAATTTCCAGGGGAAGATGATATTCAAGGTCAGAATATCTTGGCCTCATTTCAGTATAACATACTGGGATTACATTAGTCTTGATGGTTGATGATTCTTTAAATTCTTTCACAAAAATACAGAATACCATTTCTAATCTTCAAGTGTTGATATGTGCTCTGACCCAAAAGTATTGTAAACTAGTACGAGAACTTCCAAACTTGAATAAATTTCCTCTGAACAGCTTTCATTAAAGATGTTGGCAAAAAACATCTTCCAGTCCATCTGGACAAAAATTCAAGGTTAGCATGCCACTTTTTGTCTGAAATTCTGGGAATGTGGAAAACAATCCACAAAAATTTATGGCATGGTTTTTCACGATTCATGGTTTTTCAGACAGCTCCCCAAGTCAAAATCTAGGCTGACCATATCTATAAAGGATTGTAGCATTTTGGTTGTACAGCAACAAATGTACCTAAAAATCTAGTCCCCCAACACTCTGAGATCATATTATCAGTATCTTGCTGGCAAAAGAGCCAACCTTTTGCAGTTTTTTTTCAAAGTAGGTTTTAATCAGAATGGAAACATTAAGGCTTACGGAGGCAAATCATTTCCTTTTCAAGTCAAAAATGACTTCCCTGTCTAGCCTACAGATCTTGAATTTTCCAGTTGTCTTTAATTGAAGTATAATCTAGTCCTGGTCCAACCCTGCATAGCCCAGTGGTCAGTGAACATTGACTGAAATGTTACTGGATTAATTCCATTAGAAATCCTACAGATGGTCTGAAAATTGCATTGTGATATCTGATCACTTTGGGCCATTTTTCAAGGAAGGTTTATGGATGGAATGTAAGCAGTTTGCCTCCCCCAGCCCTCTATCCTTAAATCCCAATCCTAAAAAGGAAGAATTCTGATCCCCTTCCACTTAGAGAACTCCTGCAACCTTTTGCAAGGTCAATTGGCCTTGATCCTTCAAAACTGCTTGCCCTTCTTCTAAAGAAAGCCCAGCTGTAGTCCTAAAATAAGCATAGAGGTAGCATTCTGAGTACAAGAAATGTTGCATCTTTATTAAGACAAGCTGGCTTTTAAAATTAGCTGTTTTTTTTAAATGTTAACATTATGTGTAACATCCTGATTTAGTCATATTTATATTCACCGATTTAATGAGTCTATTCTAAATATGATTAATTCAAGAGTCAACCATACATCTATCTCTATCTCTATCTCTATCTCTATCTCTATCTCTCTCTCTCTATCTATCTATCTATCTATCTATCTATCTATCTATCTATCTATACACACACACATACACGTCCAGTAGAATATGAAAATAGGAGTGATATTCCTGTATTTTTTTTTAGATTTTACTGTAAGGGGAACATAACTTCTCAGAGGTGTTCATAATATATTAAATACTGTATGTATGTATGTATGTATGTATGTATGTATGTATGTATGTATGTATGTATGGTATTTAGGTTTCTTCGGGTATTTTCCCACGTCTTAATGGTAGTGCTTTTATAGCGACATTTCGGCAGAATCTCATCTGCCATCCTCAGGCTTGTGTATTGGGGTTTTTTCCTAATCGTGTGTGTCAGGCTTTAGCAGTCGTTTCTGTTTGAATTTAGTGCTGGCTTCGTGCTTTATTTGAATGGTTTTTTCTTCATCCTGATTGGCTGGGAGTCTAGGTTTGTGTTTATCGGTCTTCGAGTTGCTGTGTTTTTGATCAGCTGGCAACATTGTGTTTTGTGTATCAGGTTTTTTTTAGTGCAGCTTGGTTTCTTGTGAATGGTGAATTCAAACAGAAATGGCTGCTAAAGCTTGACACACACGATTAGGGAAAAAAACCCCAATACACAAGCCTGAGGATGGCAGATGAGATTCTGCCGAAATGTCACTATAACTTTAAAAGCTCAACTATTAAGACATGGGAAAATACCTGAAGAAACCTAAATACCATACATATAATACCCGTGAAAACATAAGAAAACGTGTGTGTGTGTGTGTGTGTGTGTGTGTGTGTGTGTGTGTAGTCCTTGACTTACAACCATTTGTTTAGTGACTGTTTGAAGTTATTCCAGCACTGAAAAAGGTGACTTTTCACATTTAAAACCAATGCAGCATCCCCATGGTCACATGATCAAAATTCAAATGCTTGGCAACTGGCATGTATTTATTATAGTTGCAATGTCCTGGGTCATGTGATTACCTTTTGTGATTTTCTGACAAGCAAAATCAATGGGGAAGCCAAATTCACTTAACAGCTGTGTTACTAAGTTAACAACTGCAGTGATTCACTTAAAAGCTGTCTCACTTAGCAACAGAAATTTTGAGCTCAATTGTAATAATAAATCGAGGTAAAGAGAACATTAATGAAAAATTCTGCTTTAAGGATACTGCAGTTATTAGTACTGTTTATATTCTAATAAGTATACGTCATGTTATTTTTTTAAAGATATTTTTGCTTTGGTATACAAATCTATTATATAATTTATCATAAGAATATTAATTTATTTTACTGAGCTAAATATGCATGAGAAAATTTTCAATGATTTGAACAGGGAAGTAGTACAGAAAAAGAATAACCTCTTTTTCTAAAATGAGATTCCTATAGCAACTAAAGAGATTTCTAGCTTGCTTCACTCTCTTACTATTAAGTGATGTTCTCCTTAAAATTAATATATAACTGTGAAAGAGAATATAAAAATTGAAGATAGATTCACAAAATTAGAACCAACAGATTGCTTTATTTCAAAGCAAACTACCCTGTGTTTAAACCATTGTTTATTGCATAAACCGGTCATAATTTGCTCTTCTCAATATGGTGGCAAGAGCTGACTTGCAGATAGATCCTCCTACCAAAGATGTGGGTTAGAAATTTGTCGATATGTTTTGTGGAAAATTTTGGTTGTTTAAAAATTGGATGAATATGGCTTTCCAGATGATTGTTCTAAAAGAGAGAGAAGGAGAGATTTCATGATTGTTTCTGGTTGTTTCCAATCGATAGGCTAGAGAAGTTACAGAAAACTGAAACAAAGTAAGAGGTTGCTGGGTTGAAAATAGTCATCAATATACAATTGTTCATTTAGTGACCAAGGTTACAATGGTACTGAAAATTACAGATAATAAGAGTTGGAAGGGATCTTTTAGTTATCTAGTCCAAACCCCCACCCAAGCGGGAGACCCTAAACCATTTCTGACAAATGGCAGTCCAATCTCTTCTTGAAAGTCTCAAGTGATGGCGCTCCCACAACTTCTGAAGACAAGCTGTTCCATTGGTTGATTGTTCTCACTGTCAGAAAGTTTCTCCTTATTTCCAGGTTAAATCTCTCTGTGTTACTAACTTAACAATTGCAATGATTCCTTAAACAACCCTGGCAAAAAAAAGATTGTAAAACGGGGCAAAATTAACAAAAATATCTTGCTTAGCAATGGAAATTTTGGGCTCAATTGCCATTTTAAGTCAAGAATTATCTATATTTGAATCTGGGGCTTCCCATCCTATTGCTATTCCCCCCAAATTACTAGACAGACTCTTAAAAAGGCTACAGCGTATTACTCAAGTGTATATTTTGGGTAAAAAAAAAAACCTTAGACTTAAAGTTTAATTATCATCCTCTACCTCATATTTTAATGCCAGCAACAACATATTACCAAAGCTAGAACATAGTTCCACGTTTACAGAATATTCACCCAGAAGCAACTCCTGCTGCGTACAGTGAGGCTTATTTAGAGGCGCACATAGGACTGATCTGTTCTGCCAACAAATCAATCAGGTGCATTTAAATTTTATACATTTCAGACCAAAAGGTTTACACAGCACAGTTAGTCCTAAGCACTATACAGATAGTCCTTGACTTACGACCACAACGGAGTGCAACATTTATGTTATAAGTGAGACAATTGTTAAGTGAGTTTTGCCTCATTTAATACCTTTAATGCCATAGTTAAATGAATCACTGTAGGTTATAATTTAGTAACATGGTGAATCTGGCTTCCCCACTGACTTTGCTTTATTGAAGGTTGCAAAAGATGATCATATGACTCCATGACATGGCAATCGTCATAAATGGTAGCTGCCAAGCATTCAAATTTTGTTCATTACCAAGGAGATGCTGCAACAATCATAAGTGTGAAAAACAATCATGTCAGTTTTTTCACTGCCACTGTGACTTCAAATGATCACTAAATAAATGGTTGTAAGTAGAGGACTACCTGTATTTTAGAAGAGATTCTTTTTTTTGCAAAACAAAACAAGATTCTTCTGAGGTAAAAAAAAAATGAGAATATTCTCCCCTTTTCTATAGCTGCTTCTCCTCATCTGGCTGGTTTTATAATTTAAATCATGTGACAGTGCAATTTCATACCTCTTAGCCACATTAAAAGAAGTTCAATCCTTGACTTAGCATTTTGTCCGTAATTTCCATTGCTAAGCAAGACAGTTCATTTACAAACTTTTCCTATGGTTGTTAAATGAATCACAGTAGTGTTAAGTGAATCACATGGTCATTAAGGAAATCTCACTTCCGCCATTTATTTTGCTAGTTGGATGCAGTCTGGGAAGGTTTCAAATGGCAATCACATAACCCTGGGACCCTGCAAAAATCATAAATACATGCTGGTTGCTGAGTGCCCAAATTTTGATCACATGACCATGGGGCTACAGATATAAGTGCAAGGAGTGGTCACAAGTCATTTTTTCCAGGGCAACTGTAACTTCAAACATTTGCTAAATGAATGATAATAAGTCAAGGACTACCTGTCACAATACATTTGAGTCAAATTTTACTCCTTCTGTCTACACTGCAGTTTTCTGAGCAGTATTATAAAAGTGTATTCTTTTAGGAACTTTTTAAACAATTAATATCCCCAATATTCCTTGCTATTCTCCCCTCCAAGTTAACAAAGCTGCATTGGTCATATGCCCCATTCATAAGGGTGTTTACTTTTAAATAAACACATATGAATTTTAGTCTGTGATTCATGTGTTCAGGAGGTAGCCATATTTATTATTTAAGAAGTCAACGTATAATTGAATATTGAATACTGAAACACTTATGGTATTAAAGCTATAATGCCCCTTTATAAGCATTTTCTTAAGAACCTTCAAATCATCTCTCTAAAAAACAGTACAATCTTCCACCCACATCTTTCTGAAGGTAGGATTGTTTTATTCAGGTCAATCAATGTAATGAATTGAGGGGGTGGGGGGAACCCTAAGAATGGTTCCACCTCTTTTCATAAGCGTTATACCAATTACGCAAGAGGACAACACTGTATCACGTGTAACTCCTCCAGATCATGGGGGAAGTGGGGGGGGGGGGGGGGAAGCTGTGCAAATAATCCCTTTAGCAGAACTGATGCGATTAAAGTGATGCATGAATGCAGATCCTGAATGCGTGGCTTTTAAGGGACGGGAGAGGGGAGCGGGGTGGGTGGGTGACGTGTCCCTGCTATCGTCGTATTCCAAATCATATTCACTATGGAGGGAATCGGTGAAAGATTTTCGTGCCCACAAGACGATCGTGTGACACTCAGTTGGGAAGAGGATCGAGATCGCCCTATGCTGTTACTGTAGTTAAAAGTCTGCAACCCCAGGCTACCAATTTCTCCGGGAGAAAAACAAGCCCTTTCGCCTTCCATGGTTGGGTGGCGGGCAATGCAATTGTTAAAACCTGCCATCTCACTCGTGGCAAGGAATTTATCCCCAGCGCGCGGCTTCATAGAGCTAGCTCCCTTTCGGTTCAAACGTGCTTTCATTCTGGGTACCCTAACGATGAAATAAATACTAAAAAGCCCCCGGGGTCATTTAAACTACCGACCGAGGCGTGAGAAAGCAGAGGTTGAAGTCCAGGAAGATGGGGAAGTGGGGGGGGGGTGTCAGGTGAGCGAAGCGTGGTCGGGCGGGATGGCGGGGTGCTGAAGGGACTGGGAGGGGAGCCGGGCTGGCTATCGCGCCTGCAACAGCTATTGCGGCAGGCCGATCCGGGAGTGGGGGAAAGTTTTCATTTACCACGACCCCTCGGCCGCTGCTTCTCGGCGCCTCTGCCACGCTAGTCCTGCTGCTCAGCCCCGCCATCTTCACAAGGGGCTGGACAAAGCCTTGAGGAGGGAGAATAGAGAGGCGAGGAGAAGGAGGGGGAGGAAAACGTGAGCGCTGAGCCCAGCCTCCTTTCTCGCTCCGATCGGATGTGGTGAGCCGTAGGAGTCGAGGAGGAGAAGGCAGCGGCTGCGCCGCGCTCAGGCTGGAGGAAAGAAGAAGCGACTGTCAAGCAAACCAACTCGAGGAGGGAAAATCTGTGCAGCAGGTCCTAGTTGCTTGGATGCGATTTCTCCCTCTTCCCGATCCCCGGCCGAGCTCCGTAGCTCAGGCTTGGCTCGCCTCTTCCAACATAGGGGGATGAGGTAGAGGCAAAGCCCCGCTTCTAATCACGTTTGAGCCGGGATTAAATTTGCCTGGTCTCCTATTCCGCGGCCCCTGCCTCGCTCTTCTCGCCTTCCTAGAAACGGATCGGCGTACGGAGTGGCAAAGGCTGGTTCGTTGAATAAACCACAGGTGGAATTGATCTTTGACCTGCTTATTGTACACGTAGCCTCGCTGGACAAATTGCATTTCACTACAGTACTGAATTATAGCATGGTTTATTTGGCTTTGATTTACAGCCTACAGCAAGCCCCAGGCTAGCTCTAGCCTTGCCTTTATGGTTCAGCTAGCCTTGCTAATGACCTGTCTTAAACTGGTATGAGTCAAAGTAAACCAAGCAAAACAGAGGGCATTAAACTCTGTAAAACTTTACAACTTCTTAGCATTCCCTTAAAGAAGATGAAATATAAGACACTCTCATGAGTCCCAAATAAAAGTTTACTCACATTTATTCTTTTGCTATAATAATAGGACAAATGAACCAGTTCCAATCCCTGGCAGTTCTATATGTAAATATAAATGGAGTGACATTCTTTGAATTCTCAGAATGTATTTTGTCCAACTTCCTGGAGAGGGAGAATTGAATAAGAATGTTTGCCTTGTGTCTGTAGCTCAAATGGTTTTCATTATGACATTTTTTTCCTCTATAATCAGCAATACTGATGACCTTCATGAAAGAATACATAGTCTGTTTAAAATGGAATGAGAGCAGCTTTGATAGATGCTTCATTGTGCCTGAAGTTGACAAAAGAAGCCTTTGCCATTATAATCAATATAATAATCAATATAATAAAAGAAGGTATTCTATAAGAATTGATTGATGACTATGTGCCATCAAATCAGTGTTGACTCTCAGCAACCTCATAGATTTTTTTCCAGAATGATGTGCTCCCAATTTAGCCCTTCGTGTCTTCCAACAATGCTGCTGTAATGGAGTCCATCCACCTTGCTACTAGTCATCCTCTTCTAGTTTTTACTCATTTCTCAGTATCATAGATTTTTCAAGAAAGCTAGCTTTTCACATAATGTGTTCAAAATATCATCACTGAACTTGGTTATATGTTCCTAGAGTGAAAACTCTGAATTAATTTGTCCCAGTAGCCATTGTACTTTGATAGCTTTCTGTCGTGAGTTTTTAAGTCCTCTATGTAGAATTATTCAGGTTCATTTTTGATTCAGACTCAACATAGCTGTGATTAGTGTACATGCATACTAAAACGTGTCTTCTCTAATTTTAATTTAGGTGAGTCGAGCCACCACAGTTTGTAAACTTGGATTTATGATTTAGTAGCTTGCATGAAATTGGTAGCTGAAGTTCCCTGAACAAAATGTAATTAAATAAAGCATGCCCTAACGCAATGTGTGAACCAGGATACAGTAGTAATTCAATTTATGACCATTTCTTCAGCAACCATTTGAAATTATGATAGTGCTAAATTTAGGGATTTATGACCTTTGCCTGAAGTTACAATTATTGCAATGTCTCCATGGTCATGGGAATAAAATTTAGGCACTTGGCAAGCTCCCCTTACTGTACATCTGACTGGAAGGACAATGCAGTGCATTCTCTCTGCCTCCAAAACCCCCCCCCCCCCCCCCCCCCCCCCCCCCCCCCCCCCCCGCATTATGTACTACTGGGTCTTTGCAGGTCTTGGGCCTACTTCCTACCTCATTGGTTCCTGCATTCTCCTTCTACCTTTTTGGTAGATCTCCTTCTGGAAGTATTTATTTATTTATTTATTTATTTGATTTGCCAATTGTTTACAAGATAATAAGTATAAATGTATACATAGTTGTGAATACATGAAATGGGTACATATAAGAAAAATAAAAGAATAAGAGAAACAATAGGACAGGGACGGTAGGCACGTTGGTGCGCTTATGCACGCCCTTATGTAGCCGTTCCGCTGTTCAGCTCCCTCCACATGTATTATCTCTGAAGTGAGTGCTATTTTGGGAGCACTGCAATTAATCTCTTGTTGGGGAAGGAGACTAGGCCACTGTGCTTTTTGACCTCCCTAGAGGCCACATGGCACTGTCCTGGAAGCGGGTGTCTTTTGCGAGCAACTGCAATTCATTGTGGCTGCTCCCAAAATGGTCCCTGCTTTTAGGATGGCATCACGTGGCCTCCATTGTGTAGGAGGAAGGCCTCGTGGTGGAACATCTGCAGGGACCCTGTGGGGTGAAAAAGGAAGCCCATGGCCTGTGGGGATCCAGTGGAATGGGTAAGTAGGCCTAAGGCCTGCAGCCTGGGGAGAGAAGCAGAGCATGGGGTGCCTCAGGGGGTAGGGGAGGCCTTGGGATGCCCATGACAGGCCATGTGTGAAGTGGGGTGGTCCTTCATTACAGGCTTGGGCCTGTGCTAGGCCTCCTAGGGTTTCCCCTACACCTGAGGCATTCTGCTTAACGACCCACACAATTACTTAATGACTGCACCAGGAAGAGTAGGGATTGGGGTCGTTAAGCAAGGCAATCGTAAGCATCTCACTTCATAGGCATCAAATTTGTGACTGTAATTGACAGATTCCATTATGGTTGTAAGTAGAGGACTAGCTGTATATACTTTCTGATGATTAATGGTTTAGAATAGAATAGAATTAGAATAGAACAGAACAGAACAACAGAATAGAACAGAACAGAACAACAGAATAGAATAGAATCTAGAAGGGACCTTGGAAGTCTTCTAGTCCAGTTCAAGCAGGGGAAACTATACTATTCAGATAAGTGGCTGTCTAGTCTCTTCTTAAAAACCTCCAGTTATCAAGCTGCCACAATTTCTGAAGGCAAGCTATTCCACTGGTTAAGAGCAGAGTTCCCCAACTTTTTGGCTTTGTGCAAATGGGGATGTAGGGATGCGTGCATGCACACACGTACTCGCCTGCCACTTCCGGGGCCCAGTTCTGAAAGTCACAAGGCCCAGTCCAGGAGTTGGGGACCCCTGGTCTAGAACACTTCTCCTACAGTGAAAATACAGCATTGAAATCCGGAGGGCCTAGAAGGGATACCTTGGGGACATGATAGAGTTTTATAGAACCAAGCATGGTAAATGAGATAATTTTATACTTTGCAGCATTGAAAATTCAGAGAAATACAATGACATTGAATGAGAACCAATAAAAGCCTCAGAAAGACTTATCATATTTAAACTTTTGAAAAAGAAAACCAGTCTGGATAGTACTATCAGTTATTTTATAAAATGCACATTTAATGTGCAAAATGTATTGATGTTGCCCTCCAAACTTCAAGCACTAATCGGATAGATATAGCAAAGCATTAATATCTAAGGGTAGTACCTGTAGCATATGCTTGTCTCAAAGACTCAGCTAATGATTCATTAGCTCAGTTACATTTCTGGGACTGAATCAGCCTTGCTACTCTGGAAGCAGTAAGCCCAAACCCAAAAATCCATCGCAATAATGAACAAGAACTAGTATATGGAACTGAAGCAATATTTCAAAAATAGCAATTATATGTACTCTTGGAGTAACGTATAATCTCAGAGCAGCCTTTGCTAAGTTTCTGAGTGATCCAGCATGCTTATCTGAAAAGGGACACCAACTCTATCATGATTCAAGGTAGCTTGCCCTTCCAAATGTTCAAGCTACCTCCAAATTAAAAAAACAAAAACAAAATTATATAGGACAAATGTGCCAGACATTGACTTTAAAATAGTGTGATGCTTAATTTATGCTTAAACATGAATAATAGCATAATTATTACAATCGTATCTACCGTTCCTGTCCTATTGTCCCCAATTATTAAGTTCCTATTTCTTGTATTTAAACTTATGTTTGTTCTTGTTTCTGTTATATTGTAAGCTCTTGACAAAATAAATAACTAACAAACAAACAAACAAAACACTAAATAAATTGATTTGTTTGCTGGTTTTATTGGCTAAAGCAGAAAATTTATAAATATTGAATGAATATTGGGACTAGAACAGTGTTTCAGCATCAAAACATGCAATTCTAAACCATTGGCCATTATAAAATTAAAAATCTGACATTTATAGGCCAATGTTGGTTATAAAATAAAATTTCTCTGACACTTAAACTAGCATTTGCTATGAAAGAGCATCTTATGTGTAAAATCTGTGATTCTGAGGGAAACATTGACTGAAAATTGGGATGTTTCAGCATTAAAATATGTTGCAATTATAAAGCGTTGACCATTATGAAATTAAAAATCTGATACTTATAGGCTATAATATTGTATATAAAATATATAAAATGTTATAAATGGTTATAAAATTAAAATTCTCTGCCACTTAAATCAACATTTGCTATGAAAGAATATCTATTTGTAAAACCAATGATAATTTTAGTTTAGTTATTTTGAAGCTATCTGAAACATCATGCTATTTAGTAGACCACTCAGCCCCCATAATGCTTCCTCTGGTGCTTTGGGGCCAGGTGGCCGTATGTTTGCTATCTGTTCTCTCCTTCTGCTCATCAATCAGGAGGCAACAGGAGCCTTTCCTTGAACCATGGGAACCTTTGCTTGAATCTTTCCTGATATGTCCATTGCTACTATTGCTACTATAAACAAATCCTAGATATTTCCAAGGTCATTTTTCCCTACCAGAGAATTATTGCAGTGAAAACAGGATATTTTCACAAAATTTAGACATGTGGTTATCTTAGTTAAACTGTTGAATTATTTTGAAGGAAAACAGAACAAATTAATGGAGATAAGCTATTGCTCTCTACCATGACAGCTGTATATTG